TTTGTACATTGTAACATAACATTTCTAATCAGTCTTTTGAGCTGTCTTATATTCATTAAAGGGAGAGTTCACCCAAAAATGAAAATTAGCCCATGATTTACTCACCCTGGAGCTATAGGTGTATATGACATTCTTCGTTGTCATAATGTCCTTTGTAAAAAAAATGTACTGGCTCTTCCAAGCTTTATAATAAGAGTGAATGGCTGTATGTGTCATGGGGTGGTTGTGGAAAGGAAAGCGAGGACTCAAATGCAGAGAATTAATGTTTAATGAAAAGTAGAAAATAAATCCAGAACTAAATAAATAACTAAATAAAACAGGTCACTGAACAGGTCAAAAATCGGAACACGAGTAGACATCATATAAGACCCCTCGGGCCACCAGGGAGGTGAAGACCCCTCGGGCGGCCAGGGTGGAGATGCCATCTCAGGACCAGACACCGGCTCAGAAACAGACACCAAAACTGTAACAGCCACACGAACACACACAAACACAGAAACAAACACTGGATCTGGAACAGGCACTGGCTCAGGCTTCAGCTGTGGAACAGGCACTGGCTCTGGAACAGGCTCCGGCCCTGGCTCCGGCTCTGGAATAGCAGATTCCGGCATATCCAGGATCCACGCCAGATGTTCCAAACAGTCCATAAGTGCCTTGGCGGTCGCATAAATGGGCATCTCCTGAAATGGGCTTCTCCTTTGTGCACAGTTTCTGATTGGGCAGACGTGACGTGAGGAGTCTCTGGCTCGGCAAATGTGACGTGAGCAGTCTCTGGCTGGGCAGACGGAACATGAACAGTCTCTGACTGGGCAAACGTGACGTGAACAGTCTCTGGCAGGGCAGACAGAACGTGAACAGTCTCTGACTGGGCAAACGTGACATGAACAGTCTCTGGCTGGGCAAACGTGACATGAACAGTCTCTGACTGGGCAAACGTGACATGAACAGTCTCTGGCTGGGCAGACGGAACGTGAACAGTCTCTGGCTGGGCAAACGTGACATGAACAGTCTCTGACTGGGCAAACGTGACATGAACAGTCTCTGGCTGGGCAGACGGAACGTGAACAGTCTCTGGCAGAGCAGACAGAACGTGAACAGTCTCTGGCAGAGCAGACAGAACGTGAACAGTCTCTGGCTGGGCAAACGTGACGTGAACAGTCTCTGGCTGGGCAGACGGCACGTGGACCACCGGAACTGAGACCACCGGACTCGGGACCACCGGAACTGGGACCACCGGAACTGGGACCACCGGACTCGGGACCACCGGAACTGGGTCCACCGGAGTCGGATCCCCTTTGACCACCAAAGATGGATTCTCCAGGCCCACTAAATCAGGAGGATCTCTGTGACGTTCAAGGAGTCTTATAAATTCCCCAAACGTCAACTTCTGCAAACCTCTCATAATTCCAAAAGGTATGGGCTCAGCAAGTACATAATTAAGTAGATCCTTCAGAGCCCCCCTCACTAAGCTTCAATCCCTCTGCCACTGCAGCGAACTTCTGGGCAAAGTCCCTCACCTTAGTCCCCTGTTGCCGAAGAGAGGCCAACTCCCTGAATTTCACAAATTCGTTCGTATAATGGGCATGACAAAGGAAGGGCCGGTGGTTCCTTTGAGTTCCTCCTCCTCTGAGTCCTCATAATGGCTTGTTCGTTCTGTCACGGGGTGGTTGTGGAAAGGAAAGCGAGTACTCAAATGCAGAGAATGAATGTGTAATGAAACAAGCACATGAGTACAACCACAAGGAGACAAAATTGGGGAACAAACAAAGGAGGGTAACAAGCAGGACAGGTGGGAAAAATAAACCGATGATCAGATAACAAAATGGGAGGGGCCAGACAATAGACAGGTGAGCGTATGTCCCAAAATAACAAAACACCCATGTGCATCACATGACAGGACAGACATGTGACAGTATGTCTTTGGAAGTCCATTAAAGTGCATCTATTCGTGATTAAAGTGTTTGTGTAAGAAACATATTTATATTTAAAACTTTATTGAATAAAATAACTGGCTTCTGGCAGACGACCGTACACATCAGGGTGAGTAAATCATGGGCTAATTTTCATTTTTGGGTGAACTATCCTTTTAAGCTCCCTCACTCTAGACAGTAGCGTAGATCTAACATTGAATGGTTTAAATTACTTTTATATTGATATTCACGCCCTTTATAATCATCTCATGAACTTGCCAATTATGTAACCCTGTTTCAAATGTCTCACCCTCATTGTTTTCTTAACAGTGATGTAAGAAGAATCGGAGTGTCACTGATTGGCCACCAGAGGAGGATAGTGAGCAGCATACAAGCACTACGACTGCAGTTCCACCAAATTCAGCAGAATGGCTTCCATGTATGAAAATACACATATACACATACACATACACTCATACTTGTCACAGCTGACTGACTGTCATAAGAAGTGCTTCACAGCTTCAGTTTCTATCAAAATCCGGTGAAGATTTTCAGTTGAAACACATACATAAAAAAAGCAATCTCAAAGACCCTGAAGAAACATGCTAAATGTCATGAATTGTTTGTCTTGGTAAACTGTGTAACAGGAAAACTGGACCATTTACCCAGAGGAACCACAGTAAACAATAGAACAATGGCACCATTCTATTGTTATGAAGATGTCATCTGTCAATCATCCTGCAAGTTCTGTGATTGACTGGACTCCAAATCTGAGAACTTTGAATAGTATATTTGCTATTTTAATGTATTGAATTATGTGTCTTAAGAGATTTCTTATTCATCAAGCTTCCTCCTGAGCCTCTAAAATGAGAGACTATGGATCTGTTGAATGTCTTCAGCTTTAAATGGCTATTATACATTGTTTATCACATCTGATATTTATCCTGATATTTATATGTATATGTGAATTTGTTTCTTTTTTGGTTGCATTTTGTTTAGTTATTTTTCTAAGCAATATGTGCAGTCTTTAGAAAACCAAGAAAAGAGCCAAGGTAGGAAAGTGAGAGCTTTATCTTGCTCTGTTTAAAAAAAAAAAAAAAAGAAAAAAAAAAGCCACACAAAACCATTGACTTCCTCAGGCTGTCGGCGAGGTGGTGAAAGTCTGACCTTTCAGAAGACTGTAAGCCATTTTCTTACTCCTGTGCACCACAGTCAAATTGAACAAACTTATACAAATCCACTCAGACCGAGATTTGAGAACTGCACACATTTGTTCAGTCTGCTATGGTGTACAGTATCTAGACACCTCTGATATTTTATCAGTTTGCCTTGCGACTATGAAACTTTTGTCAGTGGAGAAACATTGAGGTAACGGGTTGCAGTACAATGTTCTCATATAGAGAGCATGACAATATAGCACTCTGCATGTTGGCAAATATTTTCTTTTTTTCCCAACACAGCAGACATACACACATAACTTCAATGGCAACATACACATTTACAGTCTCCTTTGCTTCCACCAGACAAACACACATTACCGTACCATGTTCTTTAGCTGATATATGCCCCCATTCTTTGACTGGCTCTTTGTTATTGAACACATGTTTGGGACACTGAGGCCACTCGACAAACTTCAAGTTGCAATGTGCAAATGTCAAAAGCGCAAGAGATCCGAGTTCTTACTTCAAGCAGGGCAAGGGAAACCTCGGGGTAATCAGGTCATATGTATTGTTCATAGTAAACTAATTGTACATTATTTTTTATAATTTATAAAGAGTACAGAGAGATAAAGGTGATATAGGCTGAATGTTTGTAAAAATAAATGATAACAGATATTTTTGTGTTTTTATGAGTCTGTCACAATCAAGAAAAAATCTAATTGTGGGTTAAATGCAAGATGCAATTTGTTAACATTAGTTAACTACATTTTTTTTTAACATTAACTAACAATGATCAATACATCTACAGCATTTGATAATCTTCATTCATGTTAATTTGAACATTTAATAACATTTTTAAAATCAAATGTTGTAACATTACTAAATGCACTATAAAATAACATGAACAAACGATGAACAATGGTATTTTATTAACTAACAAATGCTGTGAAACATGTATTGCTTGTTGTAAGTTCTGCTAATGCATTAAATAATGTTAACAAATGAGACCTTATTGTAAAGTGTTACCAATATTACAACACGAAATCACAAAGATGCTACAGTCAAGTTAGTTGTAACACTAGTCTGGTCATTTGCAAGCAAACTTTTCATTTGAACACTGAGGAACAAAATACGTTTTACCTGACTGCAGTTTCTGCCTACAAAGATTGTTCCTTTGTTGTAAACATCTGCCTAAACTGACAAAGCAATGGGAACAGGTTATAAAAACAGATTTTACTGACTTCAATAACAGCCTTTTTGTTGTCTGCTGAAATGTCTGCTGAAACTCAACTGTGACACAATTGTCAAGAATGAGTGTAATGTTGGTTTTCTAATTTTTTTATCCTCTCCATCCCTTTCTACTATAGTTGGCTCACTGTATTAAAAACAAGTTGCTGCCTTAAATTTTTAAGTACAATCAACTTGGATGTTGAAGTCATTTAAACTTAAATTACATTAAACTGACTTAATTGCTTAACTTATTTTGATAGGATAAAGGAATGTAAAAACGTTGTCATAACTTATTTTGAAAAATGATATGATCGATAAGTTAAGACAACATATCGATCATTGCTTTAACTCTGCATCAAAATAAATTAAGCAATTTTCAACTGTTTTGTAAGATTCAACTCATTTTTATTTGTTTAAGTTGTTTGTACTTAAAATTTTAAGGCAGCAACTTTTTTTTTACAATGCTGTTATAAATGATGGTTTGAGATTATCATGATTAATTATGTACACCATGAAAATCTATTTTAAAATACATAAATTTATATAAATAATAATAAATATATCAATGCTAATCAAAAAAATTAACTAATTCCTGTTAAGGCAATTTGGCTGAAAGAAAGAAAGAAAGAAAGAAAGAAAGAAAGAAAGAAAGAAAGAAAGAAAGAAAGAAAGAAAGAAAGAAAGAAAGAAAGAAAGAAAGAAAGAAAGAAAGAAAGAAAGAAAGAAAGAAAGAAAGAAAGAAAGAAAGCAAGAAAGCTGTTCTGACATTGTCCATCGGATGGCGCTATTAAGTAAACACCGAGCCAAAGAGCGTCATCGGTCTCCTAGCAGCGGCGTGTCGCGCGTGAGAGTTTTCAAGACGCCTCTCGTCTCTCCATCTGCACTGGAAACACCATCATCAATCAGATGACTGAGATTTTTGCTTACAAAATTACTAAAACCAAGACGCAGACAACATACAACTCAAGCCGAGCCGGAGCATAAAAGTAAGAAAGAAAATCTTTCCATGTAACTTACAGCAGACTGACAGAGCAGGTTAGCCAGCCAGACAGCTAGCAGTCTTCCGCTACGGATATGTAAACAATAACCTTGAATTGCAAGAAAATGTGTCACCCTTGTGTTGTCTTAATGTGTATATATTTGAGTGTTTAATGAAACAAACGTCAGATAACAGAAATGTTAGAATTATTTGAGCATCTTCCTCGTGCACGTGAAGCACTAGCATGTGTGCTAATGAGCTCAAAGGATTAAGTCACAGGCTATTCTCGTAGATTACGCTTTTACATTCATGTGTTTCTGTCCTGCGACTGTGACAGAGACAGATGCGGATGAAAATGTTTCTGTTTCGCTGCTGTCATTGGATTGATTGATTGATTGATGAATGGATGATTGTGTAACGAATATTATGCGACTTAAATGTCATTTTCATTTAGACCGATACACAACAGGTGGGTGTTTTCTTTAGACTTGCATACATACAAATATCCCAAATTAACAAATTCAAGTTACTTTAATATTTGCACGTAAATAATTGGGTTATGGACTGCAGATGTAAGTCCATGTTGCTTGCTAGCTGTGTCTGCTTGCAGCTCAAGTTAATTCACTTAAATCGGATTATTAAAAAAGAAGCAAGTTTACACGCTTATTTTCTTATCAGAGATTTGTCTCCATCAAATAAAAAATAAAATAAAAAAACACTTTCAGATCATAACAGCCTTTATTATTAAAACAATAAACTAGTTTTATTGTTAAACTATTTACAATCCAAATACAGTACTGTGCAGAAGTCTTAGGCACACTAGTATTTTCGCCTCCAAGAAATGGTTTTAAGCCAGTTGTTTATATATTTTGTTGTAGTGTCTCAGTAGGAAATATCAGTTTACATTTCCATACATTAATTGTGCCATTAATTGTAATAATCCAGTGAAATTTTTGAATGCACAAGTATTCTGACAACAGCCAATGCTCCACACGGAGGTCGGATCTCACCATCATTGAGTGCATCTGAAATTATATGAAGAAACAGAAAAAACAGAGACTAAGACCAGAAGAACTGCGGCAACGTCTCGAAGGTAGTGCCTGCCTGCCTGCAAAGCTACAGTACTGTGAAAAAGTTTAAGGCACTTGTGTAAAAATGCTGTAAATGAGAATGTTTTCAAAAATAATGTCATAATCATAAATAGATTTTATTTATCAATTCACTTTTATTAGTTAACTATTATTAACTGTTATTAACTTTTAACAGTTAACTAAATCAAATCAATAGGTGTTTAGTACCCTTTATGTTTTAAAACAGCTTTTGTCCAGGTATTGCACACAGTTTTTAGTTTTGCAGGTTTTTTCAAGCGTATTTGGAAACATTGCCGCAGTTCTTCTGGTCTTAGTCTCTGTTTTTTCAAGACTGTTGTGGTGGAAATGACATTGTTCGTGCTAAACAGCGAAATATTTTGGGCTATAATACTAAAACGTTAATGTAAAAACAAAAAAACATACAATAGATTAAGTTAAGGTAGTAAGAAATTTTTTATTATTTATTATTGCTACAATATTGTTGGTAAATAAGAGAACAATAGATAAGTTTGATACGATTTTAACACATAGTCATGTTTTTTAAAATTTTTTGGATTGTTTTTCATTTAAAAATATTGATACGTTTTTGTTTACTAATACTGTTGCTTGTTGATTTACTTTGGATCACCACATAGAGCAGTAGAAAGAGTTTTTAATTGAAAGTTGCCTATCGATGTCATTTCCGCCACAATATGTAATTTCCACCACAACACATATTTTAAAGTAAAACATATATAAAAACATACAATCAAACCAACTTTATATTCAGTGGTGTTGATAATTGAACAGTTGTGGTATAAGATGTGTAAGAAATACATGATTTTGAGCTATGATAAGTAAATTAAATGTTCCAGTGATCTAGTTTTAGGTGTTTTTTTAGTGTAAACATTGTAAACCTACCTACCTACCTGTCTACCTGTCTACCTGTCTACCTGTCTACCTACCTACCTACCTACCTACCTGTCTACCTGTCTACCTGTCTACCTACCTGTCTACCTACCTGTCTACCTACCTACCTACCTACCTGTCTACCTGTCTGCCTATCTGTCTGCCTGTCTGTCTACCTGTCTACCTGTCTATCTGTCTGCCTGTCTGTCTGTCTATCTGTCTGCCTGTCTGCCTGTCTGTCTGTCTATCTGTCTGTCTGTCTGTCTGTCTGTCTGTCTGTCTGTCTTTCTGTCTGTCTGTTCTAAATATTCTTTTCTTCTTCATTTGAGCTACTAAGATCTCCCCTCAGCAGTTGGTGTCCTACGTAGACTGTGAAAAGAAGAGATGTTTCTGTTGTCCCAAGTGTTTGTCGGCCTCTGGATGCATCTAATGAATAATCTAATGGAGCTCGTCTTTGATGTGATCTCTTTCCAGAAGCGCCCCATCCAACTAGGCAAATGGGGCTTTTTGATAAGCTTGCAGGGTGGCTGGGTCTGAAGAAGAAGGAAGTGAATGTGCTGTGTTTAGGTCTGGACAACAGTGGAAAAACTACCATCATCAACCAGCTAAAGCCATCCAATGTAAGTTACTCGCCTGTCTGTATACTCAAAGTATATATTTTTGTATTTTCCTTTCTCTTTTTCTTTGTTTTCTGTTTTGAATGTGAGCTCACAGGTTGTTTTGTTTTTTTCTCTTTCAGGCTCAGGCTCAAGACATTGTCCCAACTATAGGCTTCAGCATAGAAAAATTTAGGACCTCAAGGTGAATATTTAAAAGAGCTAACTATGTAGCTATATAGTTTGAGGGGTTAGTCTCTGAAATTCATTGGTCTTTTTTTTTTTTTTTTTTTTTTTTCAAAATCTTACTAACATAGTGACTCCCTCCTCTCCCCAAAGTCTTTCTTTCACAGTGTTTGACATGTCAGGACAGGGAAGATACAGAAATCTGTGGGAGCACTATTACAAGTGAGTTTCTCCTATTCAAGCTTGTTTTATTATGTTTACAATGCCCACTTTGGCATCTATCTGTGTGGTTTTTGTTTATTCTGTTGTTTTCAGGGAGGGTCAGGCCATCATTTTTGTGATTGATAGTGGAGATAAACTAAGAATGGTGGTGGCAAAAGAGGAATTGGATACCCTTTTGAATCACCCTGGTATATCTTTCTTTCTGTCTGTCTGTTTCATTTATCAATATTTTACTCACCATTTTCAAATCTGATTTAAAAGCAGCCTAATACCCATACATGTTTTTTCTGATGTGTACTCAGACATTAAGCACCGAAGGATACCTATACTCTTTTTCGCCAACAAGATGGACCTCAGGGATGCTTTGTCAGCAGTAAAAGTCTCTCAGCTCTTGTGTTTGGAAAACATTAAGGACAAACCATGGCATATCTGGTAAGAAAACAACAACAAAAAAACAGCTTGCGTTGAAATAATTTGTATAATTTATAGGTCCAAAGCACTATTGCAGGATGTACTGTTTGAGTTAGTTTTTGACAGCAAGCCTACAGTTCGTAGGATCTATTAGTCTGGATGTGGGTGAAATGAAAGGTTATGTAAAAATTAGCAAGGTTTATATAAGTGAAATAATTCTAACATTATGTAATAAAAGGAATGCTTTAATTACATTACACAATTAAGGGACTAGTATTATTGATTTAATTTTCTTTGTACAGTGGATGGGATGTCTGAAGAACATAAATCACCAAGCTAATAAACCAGACAGCACATTAAGAGATTTAGCTTTAGTTACAGTATTTAATAAATGTCATAGTAAATGAGGAACAGTCTTACGTACCACAGTGACAACAATTCATATCCGGGCAGAATTAGATTTCTCAGAGGAACTCTGTGCTAGCCAGGGTAGGCAATTTGCTTTTTAATTTTTACAAAGGTTGCGTGAGGTTTTTACAGACGTGTTCAATTCATATGGGAATAACACAATCACAAAATACATCTGTGATCTCCTCAGGGTAAACCTGCCCCATCTGAAAAGAGCTGATTAGGTGTGTGTGTATGTGTGTGTTCCTGGTAAACCCTACATTATAGGGACAAAATAGGGACCAAAAAGCACACAAATATGGCACTTTCCAGAATCCTTGTCCATTTTTTGGTCCTCATGAGGAAAACAGCTTATGAATTATACTAAGTGATGATTTTTGAAAATGTAAAATGCAGAAAGGTGTCTGTGATGGGTACCGGTAGGTTTAGTGGGGGGTTTGAACACTATATAAATCATTATGTCTATAAACGTCACAATAAATCATGAAGTTTGTCCATGCGTGTGTGTGTGTGTGTGAGAGAGAGAGAGAGAGAGAGAGAGAGAGAGAGAGAGAGAGAGAGAGAGAGAAAGAGAGAGAGACTAAGCAGAAGCTACATTTAAATGTGGGGGCGGTAAGATTTTTGGAGTCATTTAGAAGTCTCCAATACTCATCAAGGCTGCATTTATTTGTAATCAGCACTTTTTAAATTCAATTTAAAGGGATAGTTCACTTTGAAATTAATTTTTGATATGTTTTAGCTTACCTCAAGGGCATCCAATATGTAGGTGTCTTTGTTTCCACAGTATTTTCAATTTTGATATTTTTCGGTCAAACCGTTGTTGTCTATCAGTCATGTAATGGAGGTTAAGGGGGTCCACCTCAAAGAGCATGCACAGAGAAGTCAAAATTAAACATGATTGAATTACTCGTGAATGTAAGTACACATTGATGGCCTAAGACACGAAACGAGCGGTTTGTGTGAGAAAACGAACAGTATTTATATCGTTTTTACCTCGTGCTACCACAGCGATGTCAAACTGATCTGGCACGGGCGCTTCGGTCTGCACTTGCGCCAGAAGTGATAGTTCGCGCGCCTACGTCACTCTTTGTTTATACAGAGATTTCAGAAGTTTTACCTTTCACTAAACATTTAAATATACGGGAAATCGCAATGGAAGACAATTTCGGTATATCTAAATATGTTTACTAAAAGGTAAAACTTCCGAAATCTTCGTGTCAATATTGAGTGACATCACACGCAAGCGATCACTTCCGGTGTAACATTGAACTGATTCAGTTCTGTTCAGTTGGACATTGCACAACTGATTCGGATCACTTGGACGAGATGATATAAATGATATAAATGCTGTTCGTTTTCTCACACAAACCGCTCGTTTCGTGCCTTAGGCCATCAATGTGTACTTACATTTACGAGTCATTAAATCATGTTTAATTTTGACTTCTCTTTGCATGCTCTTTGACGTGGACCCCCATACCTGCATTATATGACTGTCTGGCAGACAACAACGGTTTGACTGAAAAATATAAAAATTGAAAATACTGTGGAAACAAAGACACCTACATCTTGGATGCCCTTGAGGTAAGCTAAAACATATCAAAAATTAATTTCAAAGTGAACTATACCTTTAATGTGTACTTGCTGGAAAAAAAGTATTAATTTCCTTTTTTTTTCTTCTTCTTTTTTTTTCTTTTTTAAATCTTACTGACGCCTAACTAATGGAATTGTCTGTCAATATATTATTTATATACAAAGAAAGCATACATAACATTGATATGAAATAATTTACTTTTACAGTGCTAGCGATGCAGTGAAAGGAGAAGGCCTTCAGGAGGGCGTAGACTGGCTGCAAGGTAAATACACATTGCATTTCTGATTTTCTGTTTGTCTTTTGACTCAAATACTTTTTAAGAGGGGTGTCAAAAGAAATTTACCATTTAAAACGTTCAATGCCATTTGTATTCTTGTGTTCCGTTTCATCCGTAGAACAAATTGCACAGTAAGTACTTGCAGTTGAAATTAGCCGATGTGTTGTGATTTTTTTTTTTTAGTGTATATTTCTAATTGTAATTGTATTATGTTTAACTGCTAGATTTCCCTTTTGGGCTGTATTTATTCTTGCAGATTTTTACATTTCAATTTGGCCTTTTGAGAGAAATTCAATGGCAAATAAACATTTAAAATGTACAACTCAAAGATGAGATACAGCCAAAATTGTGCTAAACTATTTCAGATCCCCTCTCCTTGTTGTTTGAGGCGCATTTGAATATTCAGTCAAGTCAGTAACGATTAAATGAAGTTCACAGACGTCTGTTTTTCTCTACCCAGTAGTTTATCCCAATCAATCCAGCAATTCAGGGCCTCATCCTTATCGGAAACATGTGTATATACAGTTATTAAAATGAATAAAGAATTAAATCATTGTTCTGTTTTTTAATCACTGCCCCCCAACCCCAACTCCCCTCTCCCCTCTCATTAACAGATCAAATCAGAGCGATGAAAACGTAAAATCCTCCTGAAAATTAAAAATTCATGGTCAATGACGGAGCCGGACAAAACCGATCTTCACCTCTGGGCACCTACTGTCTATGCTGACTTTAAAATCAGTTAGATTGGTAGAGTAATACACTGTTTGGCTTTGATTATAGCCATGTTCGCACTATGTATGAACATCTGTTTCAGTTGGTCAGTGGCCAGTTGCATAAACTGCATAAACTATTTTTTTTCTCATGTTTTAAAAATCAGTTACAGTTAATTAGTCTAATTTTTATCCAAATCCAAAAAGTAAGATTGATTACCTGCTAAGACTGAACTACCTGCTAGTTGGTCAGAGTATTTATTAAGACACAATCTTAACATAGTGGCTATACTGTATGTATATATGCAACTGGCCTCTGATGGCAAGTGGTGAGTCGAGACTTTCCTTTTTAAATCTCACCACAAACATTATTCGGAAAGTTGTTTTCTTTTAAAGATGCACATAACTAGTGAAGTTTAACCTATTCGCGCAATGATTGATTGGCAGATTCATAAAAACTGATTTGAATTTACACTAAAAATGGTAATCCATACGGATTTCTGACTACCCCCAAATGAGCGATCAAATCACAAAACATTTTTACCCCATTTATACCTGCAATTATGGTGTGTTCGAGTCCTCCTGAAGTTCGTATTTACAAGTCGAGAAGTCGGGTTTATGAAGTCGGGTGCGTTCAAGTCCCTTTCGTCTTAGGAAGATTACGGCGTCTTAATTAACTACAACAAAAATACAGCAAGGTTTTTAAACTCTACTTCACGAAAATTAAAAACAAAGGATGTAAATTGGGTGTTTTTTGCCTTTTAATTAATGTATGAAACCACTGTAAAATTGATCATTCTATTATATTGTTTAATTACAATACTATTGTATTTTGTGTAGGAAATTAGCTTATTTGTTGTAAATAAAAAAGCCTGACAATGTCACTGCTAATTACCTATAAATATTGTGGCGTTCCACCACTATTCTCACTGACACGTCCCCAATTCGTAAAGATCCCAAGCTTCCCACTCGTATTTACGACTTTGTGGTGACTTTCAACTCATAAATACGAACTTTTTGACATGACTTGAACACGTGCTGACCACTTTGGATCACCTGAGATATGATATTTTTAAGTGTAAAGTGGTCTGACAATTCGTCAAAGGTCATTGCGCCTTCTTTCTTGATGAATTTTCTTTCATAAATATTCCACGACAATATAATATGCAATAAATTTGTGCATCAAATTTGAAACTTTAAATACTTACACTACACTTCTTGGCTGCTAATGCTAGACTAATTCTGCTGAGAAACGTACTGTTTCTCAGACAGAAAAGTAGAGTGGCTAATATTTTATATCGTAGTTATGTTTGTTTATCAATAGATATAAAACATTCCTGTGCGGTGTTGCATTCAGTGTTGCTCTGGAATGTAAAATGGTGAAAGCTTGTTACTGTAGTAATGTATCGCAGTGCTTTGTCACTATTTTGCTTTGATTTTCATGCATTGCATACAGTTGCCTACAATGGACAGTGTTTTTTTTTTTTTTTCCTCAGAAAGGTTGACACTTCAAACCGTCACAAAGGAAACATTCCCTCTTTTTTCTGGAGTTATTTATTTTTCAATATTATTATATTTCTCGAGTATATGTAAATTTAATGTTGCTGCATGTCCTGTGTTTTGTCTAGATGATACATTTTCACCAAATAATTTATTTTCTAAACATTTGACTGATTTAGAAATGTTTTTTTTTTTTTTCTTGCTGTTTTTATTCATCATTAAGGGATCTTGTAATAAAATGTTTAAAGAATAAACTGAAACTCTGGGGCTTAGCATCTGTATGAAGGGAGTCTCTCTCTGTCTATTTAACTCTCTCTTATAATTTCTTTTTAGTAGTCAACTGACCAGTCAATACCAGTGTGGCACAGGAGCTTCATCCTTCTTTCTCTTTAAATAATCAGTCTGGCCAGAGCTCTTTGAGTCTGAACAGTGTGAGGGACAGCTGTTATAGGATGGCTGAACCATGTCCATGATTACAGCTGTGGAAAATCCAATGCCCTTGCTCATTAAAACCACAGCATCAGCACAGATATGTAGGCTACTGAAAATGGCAGCATCTCATCTAACCATAAAGCCATCTGCCGTTTTAATGGAATCTCACATTTATGTCTTTTCCAGTCACTGAAATACTAAAGTGCTGCCAAGATGGTGTTGTGTTGTCATTAGAGACTTCAGCTGGAGTTTCATCTCATTTAATTATGTTTATGAGGATGACTTAAGCGTCACCAACCGCGAGTGTGATATTACTGTGGTGCCAGTAAATAGGGACAGCTCCAGAGACAGTCTGTGCAGATCCCAGAGAAGAAGTGACAGCAGATATAAAACACAGAGCTTCCGTGCACAGAGTCAGATCGTCTTGTTTAGCCATGCGTAACAGACGTGACGCTGATGCGGGACCCTGTAAGTGCCCGTTGCTCTCCACTTTCCATCTCTCTGTGTACACACCGGGTTTTCTCCGCTGCTCCAGCTACGGTCCCTGAACAGAAGGCTCTAGTTTCTTTCTTTCTACCGCTAGGTGGCAGCATCAGTCTTCTCTGTAATTCACTTTTGAAAGCCACAACAGGTAGTTAAGCAAGTGCTGAAATATACACAATATAAATGAATTAAACTTCATAATTTTTTTTTTCTTTTAATAATTAAGTTAATGTTTTGTTGTTGTTGTTTTTTTTTTTTTTTTTTTTTTTTCACAAATATATCATCCGAGTTGCATTTCAAAGATCATACATTTTGATTTTATCTCATCAATGAACATTGTAGATTAGGCCTAAGTATACAATTTTACATGTAATATAGCCTATATATATTGTATTGCTGTTTCTTATTATTATTGCCGACCGTTCTGTCAAATCTGCTGTTTATTTGTCCTTGAAAAACTACATGTTCATCTCTCGGCGACACACTTCAAAGAACACGAAACAGATGTGAAGTATGCTCATTAGCTGAGCAAAATCTGCACACCATGACTGGTCCCATGCACAAGGGATCTAGAAGAACACAGAGTAATTCCAGATAAACATTTTAAGACGTTTTAAAAAGCATATAGTCCTCCTCTGTACACTGTAAAAAAATAAATTTAAAAAGTATTTTTGGTTTAAAAAAAGGTAAGTACAAAAAGTAACCTGGTTGCCTTAATTTTGTGTTCATTGAAAATAAAAATAAAAAGAATGGGTTAATACAATTGAGATTAGTTTGATCTAGAGAAACTCAAAATATTATGTTATCTGAACCACATAAATTGAGTTAAGTTGAAAAGGTTGATTTGAAAGAAAAAAAATGAAAAAGAATTGTGATAAATCGTGATATATATATATATATATATATATATATATATATATATATATATATATAAACTAACTTTTCTCTTGCACTTTTTAAAACGTACACATAACTTTTACTGGAAAAAAAAAAAAAAAAAATGCCAGGTCTAAAAAACCTGTGCCACATTTGCTGTTGAAAACTGCTGAGGGATCTTGACCAGGCCTTTTCTAAACTACAAAGAACTTCGACATCTGCACAGGAAGTGTAGTGTCTGCTTATAATTGGGACTCACTTGGCAAGCTGTCAAAATGTTACAAGTTAAATTAGTCGACTTGTCTGATATAGGCAAGGTAGAACATATCCGGCTTCTTCTTTTTTTCCATTAAATTGGCTCGTTTGGGGAGTTGCATTCTCTCTTTTAAGAAAGCTAACAGATTCTTATTTCTCAAAGAAATGAATATGATTTTATTTAGAAATGCCGGTGGAACTGTCAAACATGCAGAGGCGCAATTAGCATCTAAAAAGTCTCGAATTCCTGGAGATTAATTTGCGAAAAGCCTGTCCTCAGGAAGTAATGTCTAGTGTATATTACAGCTCTCATGACCAAACTGGATAGCCTACCACAAAAACATGAATGTTAATAGAAATCTTTGCTTTGGCTTAGTAAGGTGATTTTGCGTTTCCTTAATTATTTTTTTATTTAGCCTTTGTTTGGTAACACTTTATTTCGATAGTCCACTTTGGACTAAATGTTATCTAGCTTTAATGTAAAAACAAAGGGTTCCATTTTATTTTGACAGTCCACTTCAGACATTCAACTATAAGTAACTTTGTAACTTTTTTTTTAACTTGAAAAAAATGAAAATATGTGTATACAGACATGCATATATATATATAACATTAAAATTAAAATAACAGATTTATACAGTCATGTACTTCACAACACAATAAATTAATTTAAATGAGAAATTCCCACGTTCAAAAAGGAGTAGGGAGAAGTTCGAACTTTTCAAGTCCCACCCCCTATCTCTATCTTTATCCTTTAATTAAATACAAAACAAATGTAAGCTTCTCATTCATTTCCATCTATCTATGACAAAAAATAAAAATAAACACCTCCATACTAGACTTAATATGTAGACCAAAGAACCTCAGAGCACACTCAAAAGAGTAAAACAGGCCTAAAGTATTAATAATTTGAATGGGTAGCTACTTGTAAAAATCTCTACGAAACAAAATTAACAAAGATGTACTTTTATTAATGCTTTATTAAAACATGTTAGCCTCACTGTCAGAAAAAAAGGTACAAAAACTGTCACTGGGGCGGTACATTTTCAAAAAGGTACACTTTTGTAAAGGGTGCATATTGGTACCATATTTACCATGATGGTACCAATATGCACCCTTTAGGTACAAAAGTGTACCGTGAAGGTACCAATATGCACCATTTAGGTACAAAAGTGTACCTTTTGAAAAGGTACCGCCCCAGTGACAGCTTTCGTACCTTTTTTTTCTGAGAGTGTAGCTATGCAACGTATAAAAACGCACAATTGCGTTGGATTACAGTCGTATTCAACGTTATTTGGTGTGCCAGTGCTGTTCAGTTTGACTATACACACCCTCATGACCTTTCTATTTTTGTCTACGCAATATACAGTATACTTGAATTTGGAGAGTTTGGGTGGCGCGTCTAAGCCCTGGCGCGAGGTTCAGCACTCTGGACAGCGCCTGACCTGCTGCTGCTGAGAGAGAGAGAGAGAGAGAGAGAGAGAGAGAGAGAGAGAGAGAGAGAGAGAGAGAGAGAGAGAGAGAGAGAGAGAGAGAGAGAGAGAGAGAGAGAGAGAGAGAGAGAGAGAGAGAGAGAGAGAGAGAGAGAGAGAGAGAGAGAGAGAGAGAGAGAGAGAGAGAGAGATAGAGAGAGAGAGAGAGAGAGAGAGAGAGAGAGAGAGAGAGAGAGAGAGAGAGAGAGAGAGAGAGAGAGAGAGAGAGAGAGAGAGACTGTCTCCAAACACCAGTCAAGAAAAACATGAATGGAACCGATTTCACTGCTCTTGATTTACAGCTGTTTCCCCCGTCTTGCGATTTCCAGTTGACTTTAGAACCTCCTGTGACGCGCGGCTCGTTTGCGCGACCTGACATCTTAATTCACAAATAGCCCTCATTCACATCTCTCTGACGTTCACCGACCCTCTGACGAAACCTGCTCTTATAAGATTCACAGTAAGTTTGGCTCACTCTGAAATGTGCGGTACCGCTCCTCTCCTGAGGCGACAGTTGGGCTCTTTTCGCACTCTTGGTGGCAGTTGAGCGGCTGATTCACAAAGGTGAGGCACTTTTCTTGTGATGTTCAATGATGAAATATTTGTCATTTCCCCCACCTAAACAAGAAACATGACATCTATTAATTTAGCATGCAATGTAACAAAGCTTGGAGTGACTGAAATAGCCTGCTGATTTAGATTGTTAAGAGATGATATGCTACGCATTCCAAATCTTCTGTGCAACAACAGTTGATGCAAAATATTTCTGAATCCTGATCTTCTTTGTATTGAGAAGCAAAATAGACTTTTTCTCTCTCTCTCTCTCTCTTCTTATGCATCTCTTTAGGTCTCTTTTCCTTAGGTCTCAATGCATTTCGGTTCTTTAGAAATACAACGACTTTAGCAGAGAGAAGATGAACATCCATGTGGAGGGGTTGGTGGCGATTGTCATCTTCTACCTGCTGATCCTTGTAGTGGGAATCTGGGCAGCATGGAAAAACAAGAATTCTGGCGTGATGGAGGGAACTGATCGCAGTGAGATTATTATGGTCGGCGGAAGGGATATTGGATTATTTGTCGGTGCATTTACCATGACTGGTGAGTTTCAGAAAGAACTGGACAGAAAAGCCTTTTACTTTATAGCCTTGCCCAAATGCGATATAACCTGACTGACGTTTTATTTTTACATTCTTCAGTTTAGTGATTTAGTAACAAAAATATTCTGTCTTTATTAAAAAGTTACCTTGATGTCTTTCTACATTAAAGTTGACAGGCGGAATAAATGATTGAGAGACAAATTAACCATATAGTTATAAATCGCGTAGCCTGTTGTAAGAGTGATAAAAAAGGGGGGAGGGGTGGGACAAATTCTGAAATGTCTAGGCCTAAATTAAATGTACATTATGATATATACATGCGTAGTGTTATGTAATTATTTAATATCTGCACATATACACATCCAGATGGATAGATAGTATATATATAGAGAGAGAGAGAGAGAGAGCAATATTTTTTCAAAACCATTTTTTTTTTTTAATCCTCTTTTATTCCAGCAACTTGGGTCGGAGGTGGTTATATCAACGGCACTGCAGAGAATGTTTATCTTCCCGGGTACGGCTTGGCATGGGCACAGGCTCCCTTTGGATACGCACTCAGCCTTGTCTTGGGTATGTTATGTTAATGCAGCTTTGATAAGCGATGACAGGCTTTTTTCAGAGTTAACATGCAACTAATAACATATCTGTCAAACATATAATTTCTATGAATTCGATTCATGTCAAGGTGGCCTTTTCTTTGCTAAACCCATGCGCTCGCGGGGTTACGTCACCATGCTTGACCCCTTCCAGCAACTGTATGGAAAAAGGATGGGCGGTCTGCTATTCATCCCTGCTCTAATGGGGGAAATGTTCTGGTCAGGCGCCATCTTATCTGCCCTTGGTAAGAATAGAGAGGGAAATTATTTCTTATGCCGACCTTTTTCTCAAGCAATCAGTAGTTTTTGCAAGCTCTACCATAATTGTACAAATTGTATAAATACATTGTAAATACTACGTAATGAAAAAATATCTTTCTTTATGTCACAGGGGCCACACTAAGTGTGATCATTGACATCGACATCAATATGTCTGTGATTATTTCGGCTCTTATTGCCATTTTCTACACGCTGGTTGGAGGACTCTACTCAGTGGCCTACACTGATGTTGTCCAGCTCTTCTGCATTTTTTTAGGACTGGTAAGGATTCACAGAGCCACACGTTGAAGTCATCGCAGTGATGTCATTTTCCCCTTAATTCAAGTCCGCATGTCTTCAGCAGCATATAACACTGTGATTGATCAAAGTGACTGTCAGCTATATGCAGTTTTGAAAGTAACGACTCATCAATCACTTTTCGTAGATACTAAGTTTTTTTTTTTTTTTGCATTATTAATTGAATAGCTATTGCATTGCTATAATAATTTTAATTAAATTTAGAAATGTTTAAAAAAATGAATTGAATTTCACAAATTTTAAAAAAATGTGTAATGCAAAAAATCGTATCTATTTTATTTTGCACTTGCACAAGCTACACATTAAGTTCAATATGATGTGTTACAGTGTTATAGAGAGTCTATTACATGATAATAGAGTGGAAAATGTTCTCTTCGTAGTGGGTGAGCGTCCCTTTTGCACTCTCAAACCCAGCTGTGTCTGACATCGGAGTGACAGCAGTGAAGCAGCTCCATGCTAATCAGACTGCATGGCTCGGGAAGATAGACAGCGCTGACAAATGGATGTGGGCTGACAACTTCTGCCTCCTGGTGAGTGGACAACTCACTGTAGCATGATGGAATGGAGACACAATCATTTTGCCAATGGATAATTGTTGATTCTGAAGGGCCAAACCTAATTTCTCACTTTATTGAACAATGCAATCATTCGTAGGGAGGAAAACTAAATCAGACCAACACAAAAACACTTGATGTTATGGATCTGTATCATGATGTCTGGTGTCTGTATTTACAATGACATTTCTGTTTTTAGATGTTGGGGGGGATTCCCTGGCAGGTGTATTTTCAAAGGGTTCTTTCTGCCTCTTCAGCTACCTATGCTCAAGTCCTCTCATTCCTGGCTGCCTTTGGATGTATCATCATGGCTATTCCCTCCGTCCTGATCGGAGCTATAGGGGCTTCCACAGGTAAGACATTTGAAAAGGGAAAAACTTTTTGGATCTTACTAAGTCAGAAATCGTTCCTTTAAACAGACAATACAAAAGTGCTCTTAATTACGCACTTATTCTGTTGTTTTTTCTCCAACATAACATGCCACATACTGTACCCTCGCCCTGAATAATTATTCACAGCTCATCCAAATTAAAAATGTTCATCAAAGCATTTTTCATATTCTTTCCTGTACATAATGTTTCCTTGTCCTAAAGCCATTTTCGCTTTGAGCATGTACTGTATTTAGTACATACCGTCAGTAATTCTAATTATGTAATCACTTTTTTCTCATTATTGAGGGAAACAGTCTGATTTGCTATGGTGTGTCATGGGAGGTGTTCCCCAGGCTGTATCAGCCCTGGGTGGAAACCATGTTCCCTTCAGATCACTAAAGAAATGAGTAAATAACAACAGCTGGTCTCCATCATACATTATTAACAGATTATCCATTTAACGATGTGAACCCTGTAAATATTACATCTGAGGGAGACACACAGCACCCAGATTTAATCAACAGACTTTCAGCATCAAAGACACAGCCAGTCACTTAAATTACTTAACTTATTGGGAATAACAGTCTAATCAGGCTCAAGGCGTGTTGCTTTTGGATTGAAAGTAAAAAGAATTTGAAATAGAATATATATATATACACTCTAAAAAATGCTGGGTTGTTTTAACCCAACTTTGGGTCAAATATGGACTAACCCAGCCATTGGGTTAAATTTTTACATTACGTTTTTGACCCAACATTTCGGGTTTGTCCATATTTGACCCAAAATTGGGTTAAAACAACCCAGCATTTTTTAGAGTGTATATATATATATATATATATATATATATATATATATATATATATATATACTACATCCTTTGTGTAATATATACACTCTAAAAACATGCTGGGTTGTTTTAACCCAATTTTGGGTAAAATATGGACAAACCCAGCCATTGGGTAAAAAATGTAATTTAAAAATGTAACCCAATGGCTGGGTTTGTACATATTTTACCCAGAATTGGGTTAAAACAACCCAGCATTTTTTAGAGTGTATATAGTATGTATGTTCTATCCCCACAGATTGGAACCAAACATCCTACGGGCCAATTCCTCCCATGCAGAAGGACCAGTCCGACATGATCTTACCGATCGTGCTACAGCACCTGTGCCCAGCCTATATCTCCTTTTTTGGTCTGGGGGCAGTTTCTGCCGCAGTGATGTCATCCGCTGACTCATCCATCTTATCAGCCAGCTCCATGTTCGCAAGGAACATCTACCAGCTCGCATTCCGGCAATCGGTGAGAGCCAGTCTAATTTAATTCTATGCAAAGTCATTCACTCCAAAAAAAATAAAAAATAAATCCAGTGCAAATATCTAAATAATTTTAACTCAAGATCTATTTACTCGTGAAGCTAAATCAAAATTAAGTGAGTGTATACTTACAGTTCACGTTGTTTCAAGCCAGTATGATCACACAAAAGAAGATATTTTGAAGAATGTCCGTAACCATGAACCCCATTGACTTCCATGGTATTTTTTTTTTTCCTTCAGTGGAAGTCAATGGGTTACATTAACTGACTGGTTTCTTGTGTTCAGCACAAGAAAGTAATTAATACAGGTTTGAAACAACTTGAGGGTGAGTAAATAATGACAGAGTTATTTTTTTAGGTGAACTATTCCTTTAAGAAAAACTAAAACATTTTATTAAGATTTTTAAGAAAAACCTCTTTTCATACCTATTTTTTTTCTTTTTTTAATAGTCATTTTATGTTTAGAAAACCACCTTATATTTTAAGTCATTTTGCTTCTTAAGTAAATGTATCTTTACTTTTAAGAAAAGTGTGAGAAAATAGGGCACTATATACTTTGTTAATAAGAAGAAACTTCCCGTATTGATTTTTTGCATTGTATTGTGTTTTAGTGTTAAAGGAAATGTCCCAAAAACTTAACGGATAATGTATTAGCAGAAATTACCAATACCTTTTCCAATTTTTCCACATTTTTTTTTATCTTACAGTGTTGTTTTAATAATATTTAAATATTTGTTATTGAAAACATGACAGAAATAATGAGCAAGAAAATATCACTTTCACTGTCAGAATAACTGACTTCTCCAAAAAAAATGATAAATATGCATACTAATGCAGGAATAAGGTAATTGAAAGGATTGGTCACTCAATACTATTAACAGTGATAATAATAACAATCGGTCATCATTTACCCATGTTGTTCAAAAACTGTGTGACTTTCATTCTTTTGCGACACACAAAAGAAGATACTGCATAATGTCTTATCAGTTGTTGTCCACAAAATGAAAGTCAATGGCATCCAAAACAAAGTTTTAATGTTTGGATTCTGAATGGAGAAAAAAAGATTCAATATCAATTGATTCAAAGCTACATATTAATCAACTTCATCAAATATAAATGTGTAGTTTTCTCAGTTATCATTTTATTTCCCCTCTAACTCTCGCCTCATCTTTGTACTGACCTCAAGGCTTCCGACCGTGAGATCGTGTGGGTCATGCGGATCACTATTTTTGTGTTCGGGGCTCTAGCGACGGCCATGGCTCTCCTGTCTGGGACTGTCTACGGTTTATGGTACCTGAGCTCTGACCTGGTGTACGTCATCATCTTCCCCCAACTCATCTGTGTTCTTTTTGTCCGTGGCACAAACACCTATGGCGCGGTGGCTGGATACGTCTTTGGAATGATCCTGCGCATTGGCGGAGGGGAACCTTATCTCAAACTGCCTCCGTTCATCTACTACCCCGGATGGACCATTGAGGAGAAGGTCCATCATGTGACCAATGAGGTGGAATACCTGGTGTTGCAAAGGTTTCCCTTTAAGACAGTTTCCATGCTGGCCTCGTTCCTAAGCAACGTGGTCGTCTCACACCTGTTTAAGTTCCTGTTTGAGAATGGCACGTTGTCAGCTAAATATGATTTCTTGGATGCAGTGGTGGCCAAGCACAGTGCTGAAATAATGGACAAGACCACATTGGTGAACAGGAACATCATTGGACTGAATGAAATGGCCCCAGTCAAGCCAAGACTTAGTGTTACTTTAGCTGCTACCTTCGCCAGGAAAGAAACCCTGACTGAAGAGGAAGACTCCAGCCCAGAGTCACCAAGTCATGAGAACGAGTAAAGGTTTTATGGTCGATCCTGAGACGCTCCATAATGTGAAGGACTGCTTCACACAATAAGTAAAGAAATATCAGATTCGAATTACATAATTAATTCACTTCACATCATTTTCAATTTTCTGGAATTGCCATCACTTCTTTCAGAAGGGAATTGAATAGCAACTGAAAATGCGAAAAGAGAGGAGAAAACAGCAGAGATTCATGTGGTGTGAGTAATATTAGGAAAAATTTGACTCGATGGTTTTACTTACCCTGAGAAGCTCTCCGACTCCTGTTGGTATGTACAAACCTGAGTGACTCTCCTTTTCCCTTTAAAAGAAAATGTTGAGATACTGTGATAATCCTGGGGAACTCAAAATATTAAAAGGAACTGTTCACCCAATAATGTTCTGTCATCATTTTCTCAGTGTCGCTGTAAGCGTACAGACTTTATTTCTTATGTGGAACACAGACAAATGGCTCAGTGGTCATACAATTAAAGTCAGTGGGCTGTTTTTGTCCCTATTTGGGGGTGGGGGATGGTGTTCCAGTATTGAAAGTGAAAAAATGATGACAACATTTTAATTTTTGCTAGAAATATTCCTTTAATTCCAGTGAGACTGGACACAGATCAGTCCAGATAAAAAAAATCAAAATAAATGTAACAGTGATTATAATATTTCAAATTATAGCTATATACGAGTAAATAATAGGTGTATAAGTCCATGTTTCATGCCATTATGTACGTCAAACTCCCATTCTAGATATTAGCGCAGATTATCCTATCGTCCTATCATAAATGTAGCTAAACAGTTATAATGCTGTTCCATAAGTACAAAATTATATAACAAGTGGTGTGCTTCCCATCTACAAAATACCTTTAACAACTGTGACGTGCACATATGGCAAATGTCTTTTTCATGTTCATAATGCAATATTAAGATAAACAAGGAACATGGAAATATGTATATAATATAATCTTTCAATCGCCTTAACTATGGATTAAATGGAGGTAATTGGACATTATGCAAAGCCGGTTCGTCACTTTGTTGTACTTGAAAATGAATGTAGCTGCAAATGATTTACCAGATGTAATAATAACCTCCGAGGTCTGTGCTGTGTTATATTTTGTGATTTGATGTCAAAAGAAGTCGTTGTACCTGGTTCCAGGATGAGCCAGCTGCTGTGTTATTTTGTTGGCTTTAGCAATACAGAAATTTGTGTGATGTGTGTATTTATATTCCAATGAATATAACTGTCCAGTATTCCACAGATGTAAAGTATCACTTTACTGTTCTATATACAAATATATATATATATTATTTATTTATTTGAATTGGTCGGAGCCAGCTTCACAAATCTATATTTATTTATTTATTAATTGTGGCCTAGATTAAACATAGGATTATTAAAAGACAATAAATTGTATTGTTAAGACTTTCATAGTTGTCTATTATTACTTTGTAAGTAATACAGTCCACAAAAAAAAAAAAAAAAATTGTATTTAAATGCGTTATGTTTATTCCCGTTTGTGGCACCAAACCCATTTTCTAAGTCTTTTCGCCTGCCAAAAAGGTCTGCGGACTGCTGTAGGATATGTGGGTGATTACGAAAATGCGTGTCTGAAAATGTGAAAATTTATGACGTTAACTACTTCCAATGTCACTGTTAAGAGACGGCACTCTAAAAATAGCCAGTTCGTTATTTACATTACTCTAAGTGCTCTGCTGGTCTCAGTGGGGCGGGGCAGGGGAGGGAAGTAAAGGCGGGGGTTGGGCCGGGTCTCTTATGCGTCTTTTCATACACTGCGTCAATGTCCTGGGGGTGGACGATGACGCTGTTTTCGCCCCACCCAACCGTGTCCCGAGCTTGTCCTCCATTTTGTCCTTGCTGTCCAAAATTTAATCCCATTACATCGTCAAGGCTGGATATGCCAGAGATCTCATTCACAAAAGAACAGTGAAGAGCACTTGTGGTGATTAATAATGACCGCAATGGGGCGGTACTATTAGCTTTGCCAAAAGTCAAGCCATTTTTATCCTTCCGACTGATGAGGTGTTTGTGGCCATCTTAAGTGTCTGGAAAGAACTCAAAGACTACTTACTCGCCAAATAACACAGTTTGAACACTGTGTTATTTGGCGAGTAAGTAGTCTTTGAGTTAGCACTTTAGTCATATCCAGATTTCTTCTGTGCTTAATACTTAATACTCACCAGAGATATTCATTTTTTTTTTATCACTAGCTTACTTCATATGTGGGCGGACTCTGGTTTTCTTGGTGATTACGTGTCTGCTCACAAATCAGTAATGAAATACTTGAGGTTGAAGAATCTCAGCTGAAATATGGTACATCTAATTGAATCAGCCTAAGTGAGGGACATTTGTCCTGCATGCTTCAATCGATCAAATCTCCCACAACGACGGTTAGAAGCACAGCCTGTGACAGAAGCTAGCAGGCAGCGTTCATTTGTATTCACGACCTTCATTATTTATTTGAACAATTTCCTTTACTGCAAATCAGCAACGGATACAGATCATGTTGTCCCAACTACACCCAGTGAGAATTTCCTATCCTCTCTATTCTTTATTAAGTGGCTATAAAGTCCCCATTGTGCCATATAAGACAATCTGAGGACATGCCTCCTCTGCACTTCTCTTAATGCCAGGGTCTTCATGTATCTGTCAAGAAATCATCTTCCTATTGAAGGAGGCAGGTGTAATTAGATTGGCTCTCATTAAACCTAGGGGAATAATTGGGCATGCTGGGAAATATAGTTCTAGGCCTTACCAGAAGACAGTTGGTATAATGTAATGAGAAAGATAAGAGACTACAGAAGAGGTAAAATATCAGCAAAGAATGGCTAACTTTTTGACTATCATGAACAGCAATAGACAATTTGAGCACTGAAAGAAAATGTACTGTATATTTAAGTAAAAATAAAAGACTTGGTAACGCTTTATTGTACAATCTCCTTTTTACACGTTACAAGTACTTTCTATATTAATAAAAGTAAGTAATGCATAATTACAAGTAACTAACCCAAACCATAAACCTATAATACATTGCAGTATTAAAAAAGGAACGTAATATTGCTCATAATAATTACTTATTTGTGTAATTATACTGACATAAGAACACTTTAAAATTAATTGTAATCAAATATTTTTGTATTTAAGTGACAATAAAAAATAATGATAAATAAGTTTCTCATCTAAACTCATCCATGAAACTTTCAGAAATGCCAGACAATTTTTTCGCATTAAAATCAACCTTTCTGAAAACTTTTTGAATTTTGATGTTAAATTATTATGGTGAATAGTGTTATCAAAATGCACTGACTTTATGCACTATTTACATGTGGTTGGGAGCAGACATAAAAAAAAAATGTTTGTACTAAATTTTGAAAATGAGAAACATTTCATTAGTCCAAAAATTATGTCAGAAATTTGCAGAGACACACACACACAAAATAATTCGGTTCATGTTTCATGAATGTAACATTGATATCTTTCTAAGTTAGGGAGGGGGTGACACTGATATAACCATTTAAAAAAAGAAGAAGAAAAAACATGCTGTTTGTGGAGAATGCTTCTCCTCTCAATATTCTCACCCTCAAGATCTGTAATGTCATCCATGTTTTATATGGGTGCATCCTGTTCCGGCAAGCCAAACATCCTCCTTTTTCCCACTCGCTCTTTCTCTTTTTCGACAGCAAAGTCATCGGTGGTGACAAGGAGAGACCCTTTTTTTTATTTCTTCTTTTATTTTTGACATGGAGTGACTAGAACAAGTGACCCTGAGGGCGCATCAGTATCAGACGTGACTGTCAGCGATAGAAGCATCTGCTTTGTGTTCTGCTGGCCACACTGCACTATTAAAAAAAAGAAAAACCAAGTGGAGTAGATCTTGTAAAATCAAAGTCAATCATTAGCTTTCCAATAGTCTTGGTCACTTAGCTGGTGCATTCAGATCAGTTCAAACAGGTTGATGTCCCTGATTTGAAGGATCAATATCTGAAACAGCGGCTATGAATTTAAAGGACCCAGAGGAGGAATCCAGGCATTAAAGTGTATTACTCCTTAGGGATCACTTTATTGACTTCTACTTCCCTCTCTCCCTCCATGTCTCTCCACTTGCAAATCTTTGCCAACCAAACTATTGTATGATAAAACCCGTCACAACCTCTTCCGCTGTCAGTCTGATGATGCAGTTTCTCAGTCACGTAATCTTTTCACCAGTCCTCCCTGCGGGCAATCACATGGGACTGTCCTACATGAATTGTGTTACATAAGACACCAACAAAAATGTCACGGACACTCTTTCACAAATGGTTAATGTCTTAATGGTTGCATAATACTTTGATGATTATTTCTTTCTTTATAAAGGGTTATTTAATTGCATAATAAAATTGTATCATATATATAGAACATTTTAGGGGTTCCCTTCATGGAATCATTTTATGGATTTAGTTTTCTTTTAACTCATTTATTTTCATTTTGAAGAATCTGACAAAATTCTTTAAGATTCTATATTGCCATTGTTCAAGATTTCTTCTTTTCCACACAAGAAAGAAAGTCAAGTAGGTCTGGAACAACATGGGGGTGAGTAATTGAAGTTTATTTATTGGATAAGCTAACGTTTTAAAACATTAAGTAGTATGTCATCATCCTTTATTAAAACTTTAATTAGATCAGTTATCCAATTAAATATGGCATCTATTCTGACTACGTCTACTAAAATCAACTTGGTGAATGACAATTATGTAGATTATATGTTTCGGACTACAATTAATAGACATTGATAACAGTGTACAATATGAACAGTTTTTTTTTTATAGTCTATGTTAGGGATATAATAGTTTTTTTTTAATGTTGTTTATGGCATTTAAATCATATTTAAGTGAACACAGTGTTGATAACCCAAATCTTTATGATGCAGCACATTCCTTCCATCTCTGACGTGAAAGTGTATTATCTCATCTCTTTCTTTTACTCTCAGCCAGCAGGGCGACTCAGGACTATTTATGTGTTCCTTAAGTGATGGCCTTGGTAATGTAATTGCTAGACATCTAATTGAAAAAATGGAGGCAGCCAAAGAGAGAGAAGGGGTGGAGGGTAATAGGGAGGGAAAACAAAGAAAGAAAGGGGGATGGAGGGATAAGAGAAAGAGGGACTAATGTACCAAGATAGAAAGCGAGGGCAAGTTAGACAAATACACACACACACACACACACTGACAGAGACACATACCACCGGCTCTATTTCTCTCAGTCAGTCTCATTGGTTCTAGATTAGATGAGTGGACCTTTATCTCATCCCCTTTAGCAAAGTCAATAATTGCAGTGTGTGAGACGTTCAGCGTGACACAGTCCCCGCAGTACATTGTAGAGAAATGAGACAGGGTCAATTCCACAATGCTCAGCTATGGCCTCAGAGAAACAGAAACTGACACTAGATAAGAGCCATTTAGTTTAGCTGAATGAACCTGATTTATCAAAATCTTGTGTACTTGTTAAAATCATAATGACACTGAACTGGTGTGTTTGATTAAAGGAGAACTCCGGTGCAAAATGAACCTTTGGTCTAATAAAACATCAGTGCCTAGTCAACTGTTCTCTGAGATTTGTTTTCATGATAATCGAATGTAAAGAGTTTTATCTCTAAAAACTGTTTAGTGTATAACTCTAGTAATGGGGGCATTAAATGAAATCGCCAGTTTATACCACTAACAAGGCTCAAATAGCCCCACACTAACACAGTAACATAATGAGGGTCCATACATCCAAAACGAAGCATTGAGAACTTTGTAAGTGTGCAGACCGTTTAATAAGAAGATACTTTATAAAGACAGTTCACTTTGTGTATACAGACAGAAGCCATCTTAGAAAATAGTCTTGATAAGTCGATCCCCAAAAGCCGTTCATAATATAGTTCAGAAGTTTGCAGAACTTACTTGTTCACAGTTCAGGTCACTCAGCAAGATGTATGTGGTTTGACTTGTCGTGACTATTTTCTTTTCAACCAGTTTTTTCAGCCTTACAGCTCCCTCCTTGACCCCTGTGGATCAAATTCAGATGAGAACTTATGGGGTCAGTAAGGTTTTTGGCGTAATCCTTGGTGTAACTCAAAAATTTTCTTTGGAATGTCAGCATCTGTAGAAGTTTAGAGTGCTGTGTCAACACCTGGTCTCTCCAGGTGCATGTAGCTTGAGTCCAGCAGGTGGATGAAGGCGTTCATGTTTTCTTTCTGTGATGTGAACAAGGTTCATAGAGTCAATCTGTGTGAGACAGGTGTAGTTATGGAGGTGTGTAATCAATGTTCAAGTCTAGGAGATGGGTGGAATCTGCTCTATAACAATTGTGTTGCAAATTTAGTTCCAGTTCTATACTGGTAGGCCATGCTAAGGGAGTGATGTGCTATTGTGAGATGTAAATGGCCTCTTG